TCTCACTAACTGCTAGAAGCCACCTTAGATTTGGAAATCCTGAAGAATTCTTAGAGGAAAGTCCTTCCTGCTCCTCTTACTGAAGCTGGTCATGGTAAAGTAATCACAGTAGCTGCTATGGATGACCTGCTCTTTCTGAAGCCATGATGATGTCATTCATTGCTTCTCTTTCTTCCAGATTATCTGCCTTTCATTTTTTGTGATTGACGCAGAGTAATTATATGGTGTTTTCTCCACACAGTACTTTGTACTATTAGCTGCTGAAGTGGTTCCCATGCAGCTGGCTGCAAGCTTTGTCCCCACAACACCCCAAGTGTGGTGGGTTGAACCTGATTGAGTGCCAGATGCCCACCAAATCTGTTCTATCACTTCCCTCCTCAACTGGACAGAGGAGAGAAAATATAACAAAAGGCTCGTGGGTTGAGATAAAGGCAGGGAGAGATCACTCACCAATTACCATTACAGGCAAAACAGACTCGACTTGGGGAAAAGAAATTTAATTTATTACCAATCAAATCGGAGGATGATAATGAGAAATAAAACCAAATCTTAAAACACCTTCCCTCCACCCATCCTTTCTTCCCAGGTTTAACTTTCCACCTGATTTCCATGTCCATCCCCACGGAAGTGTGTGTGGGATGGGAAAAGGGAGTTGCACTCAGTTCATCACACATTGTTTCTGCTGCTCTTTCCTCCTCACAGGGAAGACTCCTCACACTCTTCCCCAGCACCAGCATGGGGTCCCTCCCATGGAAGACAGTCCTCCATGAACTTCTCCAAAATGAATCCTTCCCACAGGCTACAGTTCTTCAGGAACTGCTCCAGCGTGGATGCTTTCCACAGGGTGCAGTCCTTCAGGAATGGATTGCTCCAGTGCAGGATCCCCACAGGGTCACAAGTCCTGCCAGGAACCTGCTGCAGTGTGGGCCTCCCATGGGGTCACAACATCCTTTGGGCATCCACCCACTCTGGCATAGGGTTCTCCATGGGCTACAGGGGGTCATCTGCTCCACCATGGACCTCCATGGGCTGCAGGGGGACAGCCTGCCTCACCATGGTCTTCACCACAAGCTGCAGGGGAATCTCTGCTCCAGCATCTGGAGCACCTCCTCCCCCTCCTTCTTCACTGACCTTGGTGTCTGTAGAGTTCTTTCTCTCATATCTTCTCACTCTGCTCTCTGGTTACAAAGTGAGCTTCTGACAGAGCCAATACCAGCTTCACATGTACCCAAGGATGGTTCTGGGCAGTTCTGGGAACTGAGGCCAACTGGTCTCCATCTAGTCTAGAAGTCCTTCTAACCTCCTTCAGGAGTGTGCTATGAGCCAGACTACAACTCAGAAAGGAGCAATCCCCCTTCCCAGACTGGCAGAAAGCTGCCCAGTGATGAAGGCCCTTTCCCAAAAAGTAGCTAACGACAGACTGAGACCTGCAGCTCCAGCATTCTCTGAGCTGCAGGTCCTGCTGTCGCTGCAGGTCCTTCAGGCTCTGGGCTGTGGGTGCTCTGTGCCACCCACATCCCTCATGCGGGGCTCAGTGCTACTGGTGAACCACATTTGAGCTCCATATAAGCCTTGTGGACCAAGTCCCAAGGGGATCTGAGCCCCCCCTCCCAGAAGGTCCCGGGCATCCCTGCTGGGGCTGGGGCTGTCCTTGGGCTGCAGGGCTTGAGGTCTGGCTGAACCTCCTCCTCCTCCCTGAAGGAGCCGGTCTGAACCACAGCCAAAACTTAACACATCTGTCAGCTCAAATCCTTGTGTTGTTCTCTGAGCCAAAGCATCAACACAGAAAGAAACTCCCTCCCTTTTTCTTATTCGATCTGTAGGAATTCAACTGCCAGCACACATCACTCCAGCAGACGCAGAGCACAGCTTGACTTCTTTGTCCAGTCCACATAAATCAACAAAAGTTGAATTCAGAAGCCTTAGTAATTGCAGCAAACTGCTCATAAGTGAATAACAGGGCAACAATTGAAATTTTTAGATTAGAGAAGCTCTCTTTTCATGGATGAAAAATGAACTAAATTAGTGAAATGAATTATTTGCTGCAGATTTTTAATTCAGCTTCTGTTGTTTGCTGCTTTGTGATACGTCTGATAAAAAAACCCCATTTGTCAGATAAGCTTCTCTTGCTCTTTGCAGCTACAAAACAAAGTTTTTAATTCATTATGATTTTCCCTGACCCTTCTTTCATTCATTTACATTTGTCAAAGTGGATTTAAAATGCTACCAGATCGCTAACATTTGACAGGCACACTGAAAGGTGTAAAGAACTCTGAAAAGGTGCAAGACGAGGGAGAATAAAGCACAGGGTTTTTAGCAACCACACTAAGTAAAGTCTTTATAAGGACTGATCTGGCATTTCAAAAATAGTTTCTTCCCAACCTTTCCAGAATGTGCTGAGATTTATCATTTTAGAGGAGCTGATTTCACCTTTCAAACTGAACAATGTACGTACTAATCCTGTGTGCCTATTTTGTAGGTGTTTGTTCTGTAAAATTACAGGAGGGGGAGAAGAGCCTTTTTGGAAATGAAGGTGGTGCTCTCTGTGTCGGTCATACTGGACCATACATTGATTTTTTGTCATTATCTGGAGAAATGCCAAAAATTCACTGGAATGAATCATTGATCAAAAGGAGTGGGTGTCTGAGATGGTTAAATCTGAGGATTTAAACCTAAAAAACATGTTTCCCTACGCTGATGCAGCCTGACAACATTTTAAACCTAACTTTCTCAGATCTCAATTTTGTTTTACAAGAACTGGTAGTCAGTAATCCCATCTGCATTTTCCCCTGTGCAAACATGCAACTGCTATTGGCATCTTAAAATTTATTGTACTAAAATCAAGATAAACCATTCATGTTTGTGGGCAGTGAAGTCCCAGGTGGGTAAATATTTGTTGCTTAACACACAAAATCTAGTTTTCTTCCAGATATCCAGGGTCCCAAGAAGCTTGCAAGTCTCAGTAAACTCGTATGTGCCTGCAAAAAAATTCAAGGGACATTTTGTATTACACCCACACTATGTGTTACCCTCAGGAACACATGAAGGTGACACTGACCTCCAGAGATTAAGAGTGTGACTCGGGTGTAGACTAATAGATATTACCCTTTTCCTGGGACTATCACTTGAATAAGGTGACCAACCCCTGCAGTTATTGTTCCTAGCTCTCCATGCTATTCTGCAGCATGGATGTGAGTGGCACAACCCAGGCACTTGAAGAAGCTTATGGAGCTATGGTTCATGTGTGGCTTATTCCTCACTGTGGCACTGGGCACAGTGACTGTGGTGTGACTGGGTGTTCCATTTACAGGGTGACTACAGCAGAACAACAAGAACTCACTTCCCCTTGGCCTCAGTTTTTGCATTATATATTGGTGCATAGATGCGTGTGACAAAGAGAAAGGATTGTGTTTCTCTGTTTCACAAATTTCCTGCATCTCTTCTTCTATTATGAATTCACCTCTTCCCTCTCACATTTTTTCTCTCCACAATCACGCAGGAGCCCTGGGACAAGGAATGCCATTGGGAGGTCTGAGATGTGGCAGTGATTTTAACTTGTGGCTTGTGTACCCCGAAGCATCATGAACTGTTTCCAAGGAGTATTGATAAGATACTGGAGGCTATGTGAGTAGTCCATGCCAAGGTGAAGTCTGGTGCACAACTTCTGATTATTCCCCCATAAGTTTCCAGCAAGGGATTGGAAATGGAGCACAGCACGCTCAACAGGGTCCTCCTCACCAGGTGACAAATGCACGAGGACAGTGGGTACATCACAGCTCTCACCTTTCTCCCAGGATGGACATAAGCCTAAGGAAACAAATTATTAGTTGGATTTGTCCCTCTTTATTCCCCTCCATTTATAATCTTTTCAGAAGCTATTAAATTGGAAAAGATCCAAACCTGCTGGTGTAGATCATTGTGCTGTGACCAGAAGCAGTTAACTAGTTAACTGTGGGTTTTTCTGGATCAGAGCCCTCAGGACCCCCTAAAAGGAACTGTGTCATCGGATTTAAGCATCTGAGAGCACTACCTGCATGTAAGGGTCTAGGGCCCAAATGTCCATCAAATCCTGGAATTTGGAGAAAAGAAAGTTAAACAGAAATGTTTGTTGTTCTATTCCTGCTTGTTAAGTGCTGGATGAAGTATGAAACACTACTGCTGGAAAGTAGCATTCACCAAGGAATCGTCAAAGGCATTGTAAATTACTCAAACACTCCTCAGGGTCAGTTGACCACAGACAGAGAAAACACGGCTAAAGCTGAGGACACAGAACTCTGGGAAACGTGCACAGAGTCCAGGGAAAGTTTTGCTCTGCAGCTGCAACAAAAACTTCATGGTCTCTGCCTAGTTCTCAGTGACAGCAGTACAAATCTACAGTAACTCAATGTCCTGACAGAGAGTTACTCTAGACTTGCTCCAGTCCCACTGAGAGCAAAATTTATGTTGTGCATTTATTCCAAAACACAGTATCTTTTCTCTGGTTTCTGCCATCAGAAGACATTCGTTGGGTGCCTTTCTGCAGCTCTGAATGACTTTACACGTGATTATGTTTTATATTCGATTAAAAAAAAAGTTTTAAAAAATCTTTAACGTGCACAGCGGTATGGAAACACATTATGTTACAGCTAGGCAGGGGTATAAATAGCTGAGCTGTGTTTTTGCAGTAGCTGATGCTTTGCTGGGTTTAACCAGAAGAGGGTAGAGTTTGGAAAGGGCTCCGCGCAGCCTGGGCTCCCTAGTGTGTTGGGAAACAGCAAAGGGAAAACAAGCACAAGTTTCTCTTCTGCACGCTTGCACCGACTGACTATGTGCGAGAGTTAGCAGATAAACATTGGAAGATCTTAAAGTAAAAAGGAAACGGAAAGAGAAACAAAATTCCAAAGCAGCTTTCTAGGGAAATCTCTGGAATCGAAGAGAGAAACTGCAACAGTTTTCTGTGGGCTCACCCTGCTGATTGTCTCTCTCAGAACTGTCACTCACTGCACGTTGCATTAATCAGAGCGCAGGATTTATTTCTCTGCCGTGACTTCCAACCTGTGAATAAATACCACTTTTAGAGAGAGAATGGGACCTGAAAAGACTCTCGAGCACTGAGCAGAGGGGTGAGTTTTATTAAATGGTTTCTTGTCTTTCAGTTCTGCTGGAGCTTTCTAACATCCTGCTTGCAGGCACAGCAGCCCGATGACTTGTCTTTTCCCTGCAGCTTGTTGCATATCTCATCAGGCTTTCCTGACTACAGGTTTATTTCTGTAACCTTTCCCACCAGGACTCTGGGTCAGTCTGGTAACATTTGTAATAGAGCTGACTCGGTGCTGATTTGCTTTCATGAGAAATTAAACCCACAAAACTTTGAAACCAAACAGGCTGAAAATCAAATAAAATCCAATACAATTAAAATGGCAGGTGACTCTAGGTTTCCAGATGTGGACACTGATGGATCAGAAAAAAATGAAGAAACTGAGATTGTAGTCAATGTCGGTGGGGTAAGGCAGGTGTTCTACGGAGATAACTTGAATCAATACCCAGAAACACGGCTGGCAGAGCTGATCAACTGCTTATCAGGGGGATATGATAGCATATTCTCCCTCTGCGATGACTATGATCCTGGAAAGAGAGAGTTTTACTTTGACAGAGATCCAGATGCTTTCAAATGCATTATTGATGTGTACTACTTTGGGGAAATTCACATGAAGAAAGGAATATGCCCTATATGTTTCAAGAATGAAATGGAATTTTGGAAAGTAGATTTAAAATTTTTGGATGACTGCTGCAAAACTCATCTAAGTGAAAAAAAAGAGGAACTGGAAGAAATAGCCCGAAGGGTACAACTGATTCTGGATGACTTGGGAGTGGATGCCTCAGAAAGTCGCTGGAAAAGGTGCCAAAAATACATCTGGAAGTTTCTGGAGAAGCCTGAATCATCCTACCCCGCTCGAGTGATTGCCGTCCTGTCCTTTCTGTTTATTTTGATCTCCTCTGTCGTGATGTGCGTGGGGACCATCCCAGACCTGCAGGTTGTAGATGCGGAAGGGAACCGTATGGAGCACCCGACTCTGGACAGCATAGAGACAGCCTGTATAGGCTGGTTTACCATGGAGTATGTGCTGAGGCTAATCTCCTCTCCCAACAAACTCCACTTTGTTCTGTCTTTCATGAACGTTGTTGATGTGCTAGCAATACTTCCTTTCTATGTCAGTCTGACCTTGACCCACTTGGGAGCCAAGCTCATGGAGCTGAGCAACGTCCAGCAGGCTATCCAGGCGCTGCGCATCATGAGGATCGCCAGGATTTTCAAGCTTGCACGGCACTCCTCCGGGCTCCAGACTCTGACCTATGCCTTGAAACGCAGCTTTAAGGAGCTTGGGCTCCTCCTCATGTACTTAGCTGTTGGAATCTTTGTCTTTTCTGCCCTGGGTTATACCATGGAGCAAAGTCACCCCGAAACTTTATTTAAAAGCATCCCTCAGTCATTTTGGTGGGCAATCATTACCATGACCACAGTTGGATATGGAGACATCTACCCGAAAACAACACTAGGAAAACTGAACGCTGCTATCAGTTTTCTTTGTGGGGTAATAGCGATCGCCCTTCCCATCCACCCCATCATTAACAACTTTGTCAGGTATTATAACAAACAGAGAGTTTTAGAAACAGCTGCCAAGCACGAGTTGGAGCTGATGGAGCTAAACTCAGCCGAGGGGAAAGCTGCAAGCTCCAAAAGTGAACTAGAGGATCTTGCAAGGGAAGGCAAGGAGGATCCTTTTCATAGCAGCCGGCTAAAAGTCTCCCACAGTGACACCTTTATTCATCTCCTGTCAGAAGACAAACACTATAGGACCAGGCTTCAAAGCTGCAAATAAACTGTGAGCTGTTGCCAGAGCTAAGCTACAGATCAGGACAAGCTGACAGCTATTGAAAAGACTCGTGGGATCTATCAGAGTTGGGAGGGAGCACTGCTTTGCTTTTCCAACGTGAATGTAAATTAACCCCAAGGTATCTCCATCAACAGTTGGTAAGACTTTGCCGTTATTACCCAAAATAAAATAGTAGGACTCCATTGAGATCAGACTGCTTATAATGAGTGTGTTCCAACAAAAACCATTTGTAACCATTTTAGAGACTGAAAAGTCCTTCTTGATCAGTAAATGTTCAATGACCTGAATGTTCAGCATTGACACATCAGAACTCTGTACCTGTGACAATAAAGAGCAGCATTGCACAGATTGTGTCTCCCAGGCTGACTTCAATGCCTTTGCAGCTAGAAGAAATGCTCCTTAAAAAATTAAAGCAGGCTCTGACCCCTGTGAGACTCAGGCAAAATGTTACAAGCAGTTTCAGCTTAGAGATAGTAAAAGTATGAGCATATACCGTATGCAGAATATTACAGTCAATGAATGGCTTTGGTTTTGTAAAATGTAATTTGAGGTCAACTTCTTGGATAGATATCTGTTCCTTTTTCCAGAAAAAAATATAATTTTCAATGGGATCTAGAGATATTCTTTTGAGCAGAGATATAGAATAAATGTATTTTAAGGAGCAAATGAAATAAATTTTTGTTCCAGCTTTCAATGACAGCATCATTATTTATATATGTAGGGATCTTTCAGGAAGGATTTATAATCAAGTAATTTTTAAAGCTGTAAGTTAACTCATAGCATTTTTAATTCACTATTAAAGCAAGAGAAGTTTATATGTGAGTTAAATTGAATACTTTTCTAAATATGAGACTTTAACTCTTTGAAAATAAAAATAGAGAAAGTTTCAATAATAATAGTATAATCTCCAATTGATTGAATGTAAAAATATCTATCTGAATGAACATATTACTAGGTTATTTAAAAAAAAACCCAACAAACAAAACACATCCCACCCCTACATTAACTGTCTCGCTTTGTAAATGTTCATTTACAGACGTAGTAAGCACTAATCAGTATCTTATTCATTAATTAGCATATTAATCAACACCAGTGTGTAGCTACTATCCTTTTGAAAAGCAAATTCCATCTACATGAGCATTAATTTGGCTCACGTAATGATTGCAATATATGGGTCTGGTCTCTACCAGAGAAGTCCATTGAAACTAGGAGTTACGCCAGCTCAAACGGGAGGGGAGAACTGGCACACAGATGTATTTACATACGTTAAAAGTAGGATCTCAAATGATTAAAGGGCTAGACTAGCTGTCCTTATTTGTTCCCTTTTGTGCTGAGCAATCCCTCAACCAGATGAAATGCAGCAGCCTGTTCCCAGGCACCTCATGCCTGGGACCTCCATGCAGATCCTTGAGACTCTTTTCCTGGGACGTGGGCATGTGATGGGGACAGGATGGGCACAGAGCTGTGAGGTGGGCTCTGTACTCTGTCCTAGCGCCTCATTTGCCCCAGCCCCTGGCAAAGGGGTATGTGTCTGATAATGGGAAGATCCCCGTGCGTGTGTGTGGGGACTGGGTTTGCATGTGGAGGTGGGCAGCTGTTCCCCAGGAACACTGTCCACTCTGTAGGTCTCCTGACTTGGAAATCAACCCCCAGCTCACCCAATCTGAAGGCATTTCCCAGCACTACCCCTCACACCGCAGCTGCTCACCTCCAGGGACACCTTCCCCCTGCCCCAGCCCCATGCCAGACCCACTGTCCTCTTCCCCAGCCTTGTTACTCTGTCCTGCCTTAAAAACCTCTATCAAGTAAGACAATTCAAAGCAAACTCTAAACCATTCTGTACCAGAATCCTTCCATTAGCTTTTGTGCCAAATTCTCTTCTGCCTAAGCCCAAGAGCCCATCCAAGTGCCCTCCTCAGTGCAAGCATCCCTTCAGCATCCCCTTATCCCCATCTTCCCCTCCATATCCCAGCTCCCAGCTCTTGGCCTGCAGACCTGCTCTCTAAGTCCTGCTCTGCTGAGGCATGTTCCTTGCCTGCCACCAGTCTCACTCTGCTCCTGCTGGCTGCCCAGCCAGAAACCACAGCCGGCTCTCACTGCAGGTGGAGGATCCTTCCCCTTGCTCTGCTGGGGACTTCCAGGACACAAGTAGGGGCTGCAGCCATCAAAAACCAACTCAGGAGGGATGCTAAGAGTGGGAGAAGAGGAAAAGTAAGAGAGCTGTGCCAGTCCCAGCTGTACGCCTTATCTTTCAGCAGGGGTATTAAATGTTCCTGACTTCCCTCATGACATGCAGAGGGTGGCTCGGGATAAATTAAGTTAAGTTAGCAAAAGAGCTTTCGTGAATGAGGAAAGCACTGTAAAAATGCTAGGTAATATGGTTAGCACCGCAAGTACTAGATCCTCACTGCTGCTCTTTGCAATTTATTTAACATGACATTAAATAAAAAATAAGCCTCTTTTATCAGGAAAAATTTTATGGGCTGATTTCTCCAAAGCGTTATGCCTTTGAGCACAGGGGTCTGCATATGCTATGTCAGTATGGAAAGAGCTTTGAGGCAACCTTGGTGCCACTCCAGCCCAGGCTGGTCCCAAGCCAGGCTCCATGTGGTTTGTTGCACTAGGGACCGTATTTGTTTGATTTGTTGCTGTAAGTTATATGTTCTTAAAAGGCTGTGGGTGGGTAGGATGAATTCCTGCCTGTTTGCCTTGCCAGTGCTGTGGGAGCCCTGCAGGAGCAAGGGGGAGGTGTGGGTAGCTGATGGTAGAAAGCAAGAGGCTTTCTGGGGCCCCAGGGGAGACACCTCTCATAGACAAAGAAACTACCATAAAGCCTCTGGCTTTGAAATGAGGGCTGGAGGGAAGTCTCTACCCCTTAAAGGATGGAGGGAGCTAGGGAGTGAGCTAGGAGACATTTATTTTTACATTTTAAAAATAATCTGCATCACCCAGCAGAGTTTATTTTATTTTCTTTTATTACAAGTTAATCTTAAAAAAAAAAAGGACTTAAGAGGTTGGAAGACTTGGGGGGTGAGGGGAAGCGTTAGGACAGCCCCTTCACAAGAAGGAAGCAGCACCATCCAAAGGCTCTGTCTGAGTCAGGATCCCCTGTTTTTATGCACAGGATGTTCTCAAGCTCAAAGCTGAGACAAGCCCTAAAATCTTTTCAAGGGGGAAACTGCACAGTGCTTGTTGCAGGTCTCATTACTGTGCTCTGGGTGAGGTGAGCACAGGCTGCAACCACACAACCCACCAGCAACTTCCTGATGTCCATCTCTTCCTGAGCACTTTGTGGATGTTTTGGCTGAGTCTGTAGAATTAAGTTAATGAATGCAAGGCATTCCCAGTGAGCCCATCTCCAGACCAACACAATCAGCATCAGGCACTGCACTGAGCTTCCCCAATGTCTGCAGCATGTGGGAAGCTTTGTAACACCACTGTCTCTCTGGGGAGCTCTGCCCCTGGTATTCATTGCCTGGGAACTGGGACTGGAACAGCCTAAAAATGTCCCAGTGAAGAAAATTGCATAAACTTCCTAGATGTCTCCTGCTACACAAACGCTCCTTTTTGGACTCCCAGGTGTATGAAGGAAATGGGTCACCCTTCCCATAAGAAACTGTGAGCTCTGGGAAGAAACCCTAGAACTCTAGAAAACCCATTGAGTAAAATCATGGAGAGAAAACAGCTGCTGTAAATTTAGTTGACATCAGGGCCCTTTTCATAAAGGCACTCCTCAGTTCCCTGTGCAGGAAATTTCAGAGCATAGTAAGCAGGTCAAATTATCCTCTTGAGAAGTTATCCCATAGGACATCTTCCCTATGCAGCCATCCGTGGCTGCTTCTAGAAAACTTTGAATCTTTAATACAACCTGCCATGTACAGAGCTAAAATTTGAGGGGACTCACTTTTAGTTCCTAACTAACATCAACTTCAGTTGTAAATTTAGGATTAGTCCAGTTTCACATCAAATAGCTGCCAGCAGAATCTGATTCAATAGTCTTAATTTAATAGCCCACCCAAGGGTGGATTGGTGGCAATTGCTAAGACTGTAGGTAAAATGAAGTCTAGCTTCCTGGACACCATAAAGGGCAGAACTTAATAGTGTTGAAATTGCTTTTAGAATTGCGTGGGAGACGGCTGCAGTGGTTAGTGACACACAGCATTAGTCTCAGGGAAGTGACAAGCACGTAACACATCAACTCATACCACGCTCTGGCTGGCGTGTCACAGCTGCCTTGGCTTTGGCGACAGCTTCAGGTTCATGCAGAAACAGCAACTGACAGCTAGGTTTTTGTTGCTGGACTGCCGTATATATATGGTTTGAAGACACTTAAAAAAATAATCAAAATTGTGGGAAATGCTAGAATGCCACTGCTTCTTCTGACATGTGCAGGAGAGCTGCCCCTTGCTGCAGGTATGGCACCTGCCACACAGGGTTAATTGAAATGTCCTCTCTGGTCTGTGCATGGGTTGGAGGGGAATGTGAACTTATGGAGGCAGATCCAGCTCCTATCAATCAGAAGGAGGGCTGAGGACCAAGCAGCACAGTCCACTTGTCCCTGGTTGTGCTAAGGGCACTCATTGCTAAGGTCGTTTTTGCACCTGAAGCTGAGCGATGCTGTTTCTATCTGATAAAAATGCTTAAAAGGAGAAACCAAGATCGTGTTGCTTTCAGTCTCAGGTATTCTCTCAATCCATATTGATTTTTCAAATAACTACACCAAACGCTCACCTGAGAACAGATGAAAGAGAGTCAGAGGTGTTTGTTGAAACAGAGCATTCAAATGTGCATAAAAGTAAAGGTTTAGAGATATTAATGAACAATTTACCATATTGAAAGACAAAAAAACCTGACACCCCTCTTTCCAGCCACATTTACACTGCCAGATACACTGAAACAAGTAAAGCAGCGTTCCCTGTGAGATACACCAGGCAGAAGTGTTTCCTCCCTCCTCCCTGTCAACACTCTGATCAGCCCTATATTCACTGACAAACCTCAATATTTCTTACTCACAAAGGTATGACAGTTACTGGACACATGCACAGAACCCTCTTGCTACCCAGGTTTCTGAGGATCTGGCTTGCTGTTCATTCAAATTTTACTGCATTTTGCCTAGACCTGCTGTTCCCGACTATTAGCATTTCCTTCCACACCAGCCTTCACGAGACACTTTCCCTTTGAGACAGATGGTCCCCAGTAATATGAGGAATAATTTCAGCACTGCCTGGGGTAAGTTAAACTTCACCAAAAGTTACAGCAATGCAGCACTAGTGTGAAAGTTGACTCAGGGCAATAAGCATTAAGTGTACTTGCTTCAGCTGTAGATATCCCACTAAAACTGAAATTAGTTTCT